AAGAGCGTCTTTGGGGGAGTTGGAGGTGGCATGTGCTCAGCAACCCTGTAGGTGGTGCTCACTGCATCTCGTCTAGGGGAAAACCAAGATCAGCTGGGCAGCAGATTGTGAAAATCTGGTACAGAGCATCTTCAGTTCTTTAATACCAAATGTCTAAACCATATTGTAGCCAGGATACCTGTACTTGTAACTTAATCCTTTGATCTGTGCAGAGTTTGCTTTAAGGCTTCTCAGAATTGTTTTCTGTGTGAGAGGTTATCAAAGATTAGACAGTTCTTCGTTGCTTAACAGTTAACGTCCTAGCTCTGATTAGGCACAGGTTTACTCCATTTGTTTCATGGAAGAAAAAAGGGTAAGATTGAATTACTTTTTTATGGAGGAAATCTTTAGTATGCTATTTTTTACATGGTGGAGAAGCTTTAAAGGGAATTGGTGTTCCCCAGGCAGCTGTTAGCCAAAATGTCTCTTTGGAAACTTTGCTTTCACCTAGCTCTGTAGGGATTTAACTCAGTAGGTAATGAAAATCTGATTATTTTTGCAGAACAGACAAAACAAAACTGGGGCATTCACTGATGAGGTATGGAATAGCATGTCAGGGTTGACTCTGGAACATAGACATGGTGACTCAATCCCCAGTGCTGCTGCTGAGGTCAGGTACAGCTATGCTAGCAACTGGAAAGTCATACTAGCAAAATAAACCAGCTGTTTGCCTCTTGAAGGAGAGAGGGAAAGTAGCAGAGGTGTTCAGAGACCCAGCATCTGCTGTGGCACAGTTTAAGATCATTGAAGCCAATTTACTGATAGAACTGCAAAATGTTTGGGCACCAGAAGGGCTGTGGTGTTGAATAGGGATGATTTCATCTTGGATTTCAAATAAATGTTAGAGGGAGTGATATTTCCTAGGATGCTGGTGACTCGCAGTTAGATGCATCTGTTTCATGATCTGAAACCTCACTATTCCCCCTGCTTCCTAGGAAACTTCTTTATTCCTGTTTTCTGCTGAATAAATTACAAATAAACAGAAAGTGACTAATGTAGGAGTAGTTGAGTCTTTAAAAGGTTGATTGCAAAATCCTTGAATAATTTGAAGGTTGAGACTAGACAAGAATATCTCTCCTTTTGTTTATCCCAACCACTGATGGCTTGTTAGCTTCTGGGAAGTAATATTTTCCCTTTCTTAAAAACAGGAGGAGGGATAGGTCACCTGATTAATGTGAGTGTTGGAGACTCGGTGACCTTAATGAAAGATGGATGTTCAGGAGCCAGGTCTCCTGCTTCAGCCTGTTTCTCAAAGTTGGTGGTCCAAAGGCTAAAGCAGAGGGAGGAGCTGAGTCCCAGCCTTCCTGCATTCCTGTAGCTGATGCTCTCTTTTGAAATGTGGGAGGGTGGGTTAGCTTTCAGGTTGCAGAAAGGACACTGCTGTACACTGACTGCAAACACAGGCTGGAGAGGTCAGAACTGGCAGTGAACTAGAGCATAAAACTTGTACGAGTGGTGGGTGCCAGGGCCTGCTGTAGTTTTTTTCTCCTGTATAAGCATTTCTGAATGTATTTAGCATGGTGGCTTATCAGTAATGACCAAGTGCTAGCACTGAGTGGTGGTTGTTTTCTGTTGACAGTGCTTAAGTGCCCGTGTTTGAAATCCATCTTGTTCTGTGTCCCGTGTTCTCTGCCAGCAGCCTCTACTGAGAGCTCAGGGCCTCGTCCTCCAAGTTGGAGTTAAGCTGCAGTGGGGGACAGTTGGGGAAACTTGGAGAGCTTCTTTCTGTTCCAGGCTGTAGGGCTGTGACCATTTAATTCCAGTTAAACAGACATGTCTCTGCAAAAGGAAGAGCCCTGCACTCTGCAGTGTTTGGCCCTGGCAAGCCTACAGACAGCACAGGGACGAGATCCCCAGCCTGCTTTCATCCATGTATCTCCTGGGCTTGTCTGGAGAAGTCATTTGTGTTATTTCATCCTCAAAGTGATGAAACTAAGTTTGGGATTTGGCTGTCTGTCTGCAGAGGAGGAGGGAAGCAGAGGGAAGAGACATTTCTCTGCGAGCACAAGCCAAGAGCTGTGTGGGAAGGCCCAAGCTAATGCTCCCCACTGGCTGCCTTGGCCCTGGCTCACGCCAGGCTCTTGCAGCAGACTAGACACAAAAGAAAATACACAGAGTCTAAATTTATTGGTATGAAGAAGATGTGCCAGAGTATTCCACAGCTCTTCCTTTTCTGCTTCTCTTTGATAACTCTCAATTTGCATAAATGCATGGATTAAGTATATATTAAAAGTATATATTAAAAGTATAATTCAGGCTGCAGAGGCACTTGGTCCCATAGGAGGGGATTGGGTAGGGAAATCCATGTTTGAGCATGTGTTTGAATTCCAGTTTTCATGCAGTAGCATCCCCACCTTTTTGCGATCTCTTGGTGGCAATTACGGTCTTATTGCCAGTGGTGTGTTTGGATATAAACACTGCATGTCTTCTTTGCTGGTGAGGTCCTTGGTTCTGTGCTAGAAATAGTGGGGCTTTGATGGGGCAACTTAATAGGTCACTTAGAGATGGGTGACTTCTGTGGCCATCCCTACCTTCAGCTCAGGGCAACTTCTTGCCCAGCAGCGTCCTGCTCACTGCTCCTGAGCGTGAGCCTGTCCCCTCCCTGTCTTTGCAGCTCCCAGCCATGTTCTACATAGCCTGGTTTCCCATCATCCTTAAAGCAGAAGTTTCCAGCCCTCTTCTCCCCCCACTGTGTCCCTCTCTGGGAGGTTGCCATCTCCTTCGTTCATCCCTTGCCCTGACCTGCTCACCTGCTTCTCCAGCACTGTTGCTGCCTGTCCAGATCTCGAGCTGGGGCCATATTTCCCTGACTGCAGCCTGCCATGGCCAAGCCCAGGACCTGGAGGAGCATCACCTGCCAACCAAACTCCCCCCCCCCAGACCTAAGATCAGGCTCACATTGATAAAGCTGTGACCTGCTTGCGAACAGAAAGGTGACATTTTGCAGGTTGTTTGGTCAGCTCTACCCATTGGGCCTGTCAAACACAAAAGCAACACAGCTTTTTCAAAGTTAAAAAATGACTTTTTTTATTAACCTACCCTATCATAGAGCATGGATGTTCTTGTCAAATAATACAAGGAGCAAGAGAAAACTAATTTTATCCATGTGGAGCCTACAAAGCCTCATGGCTTCTCCGTGCTATCAAGCATGTGAGTTTTTAGAAATGCAGCAGCCAATAGTTTAGCTAGAATACAGTCACTCTGAAACAAGCTAGAAATAAATAAAATACTTACATTTCAAGTACAAAACCTTGCAGTTGAATTCAGTATGAGGGAATAACTTTATTCCTGTTCATGTTACCAACTACTGTACAGGTACTTAGGCTGGCAAAGTCTGCAGATGCAGAACAGAAGAATGTTTTATGCACATGACTTAATTGAGTTGTGTGTTTAGTCTTCCCTTCAGGCTGTCACATGAAGCTTTGTCATGTCAGGCAAAAAGAAGATTTTTATGGGGGCCTTTAATAAGACACCAACCCACCACGGCTACTGGACTCCAATTTTTGCCCTATGTCTTTCCTTTCTGGTGTGTGGGGGGAAAAGTGCACTTTATGTCTCAAAATAATGACACCTACCAGCTTTGAATTGGGTTATGAACAGGTAGATGATACTTTCAAATTAAGTTTAATCAAGTGTGAGTGACTTTACCGAGGCTCCTGTGCAGCTCTAGTATGGGAGGGGACGTTGACCTCTGATGGGGGTCCTGCCTTGGGTGGGCTGGCGGCTCGCAGGCCTTTGGTACGCAGGGCTCTGCCCCGGCAGAACCAGCATGGATTGCTGACCCGAGTTCCTCTGAGACTGGAAGATGCTTTGCTCCGCTGCGCTCCTCTCTGAACAGGTGAATGTCAACCCAACGCCGACGTTGCTCTTCATGGTTCTGGAGGTGCCGTCAGATGTGCCATCGAAACATCTGCCCAGGGCGATTTCCTTGGCGATCCTGGGGTCTTGGTCGGTGACGGTGTAGATGCCGTAGTTGTGTCCCAGGGGGTCGAGAGGAGCCAGCATGGTGTACTCGCTGGAGTCGTTGTTGGTAGCCATGGGGAGGTGGTTCACCAGGTACTCATGGAGCATGCTGTTGACGCTCTCCCGGCGGCAGCTGCCTTGGGGCACCACTTTGACGAGCGTGCGGTCCACACGGTCTTGGTCGAAGAGCATCCCACTGCACTTGAACTCCAGGCAGGCTGCCGACACGTCCCGCTGCCGGGGGTCACGGATGCTGCGGACATCCCGGATGCCGTAGAGCTTGCCAATGGTACGTGGGTGCGTCCCACCCATGTTACGAGACCTCACGTTCACCTCTTGGGGTCCGTTTATTTTTACTTTAATGTAGCAGGCCCTAAATTCCATGGGCTTGGGCCACCACGCCAGGTAGTCATCGGTCCAGCTCATGAGGTCGTCTTCGCTGAAGGGAACAGTGTTGTAGTCGTACCTGTCTCCTTCTATCCGGTAAAACCTGAAGTGAGGAGCGCTATGTGGAGCTTCCTCACACTCTCTCAGGTTTTCATAGGCATAAATAGGGCCATTGTTCTCATCTGGGGAATTAGGGCTTGGCTTGGCCATGTTAATGCTGAATGCTGTTTTCTTCGTGCTGGAGTCCTCATGGTCTGTTCTCCTGTAGTTGAGCTTGTTGAGGTATGGCTGTGGGACTCCAATAGCGTTAGGGTTGAGTTTGGGAGCAGAGGAGACAGCTTCAAGCTCTTCACCCCCCAAGCTGGCCAAGATATAAGCTGCATAGGCCCTGGGGTTTTGGTCATCGCAGAAGGCAGGCACACAGGCACCGTTGGGACCAGTGACCACGCTGTCGAAACGGCCCCATGCTCTGGGGTTGGAGGAGAACCCTGGCTCTGGCTCCGTGTTGATAACAGAAATCACAACCCCTTGGATCTGCTCACTTTGCAGAAACCTCTCACTTCTGTATGCCCGGACTTTGATGTAGCACCGCCTGCTCTCAGGGACATCCAGGTTAAAAAGCCGCCTTTCTTTGATCTCCATGTTCCCAACCAAAAAAGTTCTCTCTTCCCTTTTTCGCCGTCTGCTTTTCTCAAGGTTGAAGTCCCCTTCTTCCTCCCATAATCCTGTCTCTGGGTTCAGTGACCAAAGCTTCATCTCTTGCAGGTGCTCTGGCATCCTGACCTGAGCAGCATCCAAGTGAACTTTCACTGCCTCTGCGTTAAGAGACTCGGATCCCTGTTCGTCAGTGAAGTCCACGGAAAACATGCCGTACGTACGGAGTGGAAACACATCTCCTTCCTCATCTATAAAGTTCAGGTCGCTTGGTGTCACAGGGGCTGTGGAGATGTTTCTTGGGTCCAGAAACGTCACACTGGCTTTCACTTTCCCTCTGTAGACCTCTCCATTTTTCCTATAAAACGTATCAGGAGGGATTTCTAATTCAGCGATTGGATCATCTTCCGCTTCTCCCAAGGAAATCACGTTGGTTTCAGCAGATTCCAGTGTAACAGGGGCTTGCTTTCTTAGTAGCTTGATCTCATGGAACACAGCACCTCCATTTTCCTTGAAGGGCAGAACTTTTGTTGTGTTCACAAACTTCTGCAGCCGATCAACAAAAGTTAGAACCAGCCTCTCCGTGTCTGCTGGGACTTGGATGGAGAAGGTTCCCTTGTAGCCAGTCATACTGACTCTCTTGTTGCCCATGTAGATGTGGCCAAACCTCAGTGGCTCACCATTATCTGCTGCTGTGGCTCTGCCTCGAACTGTTATTTTGGTCTCGGTGCATTTTTTGCAGCCACATTCTATGACAACTTTAGTGGGGAGCACGTACCCGTTGCAGGAGATGTCTCTGGTTTCCATCTTGGACACCCCACAGCAGTAGGAGATGTTGTCCTTACACCGGAGTCCCTTATCCAGCTTCCCAGCACAGGTCTTTGCTGGGCACTTGCCCACGTCGTAGTAGAAGGAGTTGGTTGTTTTTTGGAAGCAGTCATGGGGAAGTCGGATGAGGTGGCTCTGGGGCTGGGAGTTGCAGGCTGCCTCCTGTCTCCCTGTTGAACAGGATTTTTTAATGAGCAGCATGAAATAATAGTACAGTCACTGCTATGTGGTCTGAAACACTCAGTGCTAAACTTCTAATAGTAGCAAGGTTTTTGCAGCCATAAACCAGGCGTTTGCAGGATTTGGGTTAGCTGAATTCATCCAGCCTCTGTTTTGGAGCAGCAGGTGCTCAGCTTTGACTTTTGGTACCTGATAAAGAGCAGTGCTACTTGCTGGAGTGTCCCAACTCCTGCTTACCCACCACTGCCATCCAGTCCACCCACGGCTACATGTTCTGCAGCTGCCCAGCTTTTTGGCTAGGGACAGAGTAAAATGTGTCCCAAGGTTTAAAAAAATCACCCTAAACAAACAGAAATATTCATGTCTGGCAGCAAGGGCAGTGAGAAATCTGATGAAACGAGCAGCCTGAGCTTGGCAGGTCACCTGCAATCCAGAGCTCCAGTTTGTAGAGAGCATCTGATTCATAACCAGCTCATGCAAGCTTATCTGCATGCAGATGCATGAAATAAATGCCAAATATTTGTCTTGCGACTTTTCTTTGCCACGTGTATCAGCATTTCTGGTTTCTGGCCCCTGCTGCCTCCCCAGCTCCTTGGGGAGCATCACACACACTTTCTCCTACCTATGACAGCAAGCTTGGCAGAGCGGGACTTCGCCGACCCCCCGGGGCTGCTGGCCTTGCAGAAATACTCTCCAGCCTGGTCTCTGTTCAGGTTCTTCAGAATCAAGTTGTTTTTGTATTTGTATAAGGAGGGATCCAGCAGGGAGCCGTTGTGGTACCTGCCAGGAACAGGCAGGGGGTTAAGGGGACAGAGGGTGACTGCCTGGCTGGAGCAGAGTGATGGCCTAATCCTGCATCCTGCCATATGGACCTTGCCAGGCCTCTTGACTAAGATTCCCCCTTGGTAGTCTGGCAAGTTGGCATCACCTAAAAGTTACTCCCCTTCCTGTGGCAGTACTGAGATGTGGCTGCCAGGCAGGCAGGCAGAGCTGCCTGTTGTGCCTGCTGAGGATTTTTATACTCTTATTTTTATGTTTTTCTAGTAATTCCCTCTACAGATGACATCATCACACCAGTGAGAAACACCAGCTCTATGGATCTTGGGGAAACCATCATTTCCAGCAATCAGTTCTTGGCGTATTTAGCTGTTCTATAGCTAAAAATACACCTCTATGGAGATGATGAGATAAAAATGGAATCTGTGGGACAGATAAGAAGACTTCTGCCTGATCCAACTGGAGTTCCTTACCAGAGGTAGCGGTCAGGGGCCGGGCTCCCGAGGGCATCGCAGCAGAGCGCTACGCTCTGTCCCACTCTCCTGGCTTTGTCCTCGGGGCTCCTGAGAATGTAGGGTTTGCCTGCAGGAGGAGGAAAAGGCCATTTCGTTACTCTTTTCTTCCTAAAATTATGGATTATTTCACAGAATGGTGGGGGTTGCAAGGGAGTTCTGGTGCAGGATCCCCTAGAGCAGATCACACCGGAACACATCCAGATGGGTTTTGAATGTCTCCAGGGATGGAGACTCCCACAACCTCCCTGATGTGGCTGCCAGGCAGGCAGGCAGAGCTGCCTGTTGTGCCTGCTGAGGATTTTTATACTCTTATTTTTATGTTTTTCTAGTAATTCCCTCTACAGATGACATCATCACACCAGTGAGAAACACCAGCTCTATGGATCTTGGGGAAACCATCATTTCCAGCAATCAGTTCTTGGCGTATTTAGCTGTTCTATAGCTAAAAATACACCTCTATGGAGATGATGAGATAAAAATGGAATCTGTGGGACAGATAAGAAGACTTCTGCCTGATCCAACTGGAGTTCCTTACCAGAGGTAGCGGTCAGGGGCCGGGCTCCCGAGGGCATCGCAGCAGAGCGCTACGCTCTGTCCCACTCTCCTGGCTTTGTCCTCGGGGCTCCTGAGAATGTAGGGTTTGCCTGCAGGAGGAGGAAAAGGCCATTTCGTTACTCTTTTCTTCCTAAAATTATGGATTATTTCACAGAATGGTGGGGGTTGCAAGGGAGTTCTGGTGCAGGATCCCCTAGAGCAGATCACACCGGAACACATCCAGATGGGTTTTGAATGTCTCCAGGGATGGAGACTCCCACAACCTCCCTGGGCAGCCTGTTCCAGTGCTCTGTTACATTCAGAGTAAAAAAGTATTATCTTTTATCTAGGTTAAAAGGTTCCAAATTACTGTGTAAAGCCTCCTTCTTCCTCCCCCTCTTTTGGGCTACCTGATCGGTGCAGCTGCACTTGGATCCCCAGGTTTTTTCTGTTGCTCTCTGGTATGGTGACAGTCGATGTTGCATACTTGGCTTTTTTTATTTTAAGGGTGTTTTTGCCATCAGGACAAACCCCTGGGATTCTAAACATGCCCCTGTCATCAGCCGTTGTCAACAGCTTGAGTGTCTTGGCTTGCAGGTAGACCCGAGCATCAGCAGCAGGTGACCCGTCCTCCAGAGAGACCTTCCCGTGCAGGGTCGCGTCCTCGCACATGCAGGCGTCGCAGTCGGCGTTGACACGGCCCATGGGGCAGGAGATGTTGCAGGCTGGAGGAGAGGCAGGCAGGTCAGAAAGCAGCCCCAAGTCCCCGTAACGCTCACGGCATAGTCTGGCGTCTGCTCTTAATTTAGATGCAATAAGGCAGATCTTGCATCAGGAATATAGTGTCTCCAAAACATTTTTTTACTGATTCTTAACAGCTGCTTGTTAGAAGCACAGGGACGATGTCATTTTGAACCTGACAATTAGTAGAAAGCAGCCACGTGAATATAATTACAGCTAGGAACTGTTATTTACCTTCCCCAAAGGGCTGAATTTCAGGGAAATTTGAATCCAGATCAGCATGTGAGCTCTTAGCTCAGCCCTGGCAAAATTACAAATCCAAACGCCTTAAACTTTCTAGGTTTCTGTTACCAACTCATGCCCAAAAGTCATGACTTTTGTCTTATCTTAAAAGCTCTCTCCTCTTACTCAAAGGTGTCTTGGCATGGGCAGGACCTAGGTTATTTGCCAGAGGATCATTATGAATTTAATGAATGGTTTAATGAATGGTCTCTCAAACAGTGATTCTGAAACATTTTCATAACCTATAGAGATTATGTCTCTTTCCAAGGCAAGGACTTAGGTCATTCCTGTTACAGTCACCCAGCATAGCTGGAAATAACTGGAAAAAATCAGGGAAAAGGTAAAACAACTTTCCTGGAGAAATCAGATTATTTTCAGAATAATTTGTTTGAAAGAATATTGTAAGAATAATATAATGAATTCTGAGCCTCTTCAGCAGGGGCTGTGGCTATTTGATATTCCCAACTCATCTCCTCCTGGAGACTGCATGGAGGCAGCTGCCAGCAATTGCCAACTCCACCTAAAGAGCTGCTGTTGTAACAAGATTAATGAGATTTTTCCAATATCCCCAGAATCTTTATGGGTCCCTGATGATTCCCCATATTTGAATCCCACCCATATATTGCTGTTTAGCTGTAAATCCCCCATGCTCTGCTCCCTTAGCAGTCTCCGCCCCCGCTCAGGAAGGCACTGGTATAATGAAATTCTGGCAAGGGACAGAAAGATGGTAAAATGACAGTGAAGGGACCACAATGCCTATGCAGTGGGGAGGTCAGGACATCATCCCCTGCCCGTAAGTGAGGTTATAGGAGCACCTGAGCAGACATGTCCAATGCAGAGCCGCCCTTCCTCAGTTGCTTCATTACAGTGCACGCCCCAGAGGTGCTCAGCTAGGCAGGATCTGGTACGCTTCTGCACACCGGTTTGGCCACACTTTCCTGAGCACTCGCTCCATTTCGACCATGGAGACAAAAACCTTTTTGAATCTTGCACCAGTGGACCTTGAATAACATCAGGGGTGTGTTACTGAGACGCACAATAGCATGTACAGCTGCCCCAAAACGGGCAGTTGTTTTCTTAGCAGCTTCTATATAGCTCAGACTATGGATTTGGATATTACGCACCACATGGATTAAACAAACTCAAAGCATGTCCAGGGAGCTGGGAAATAAAGCACGAGGAGGCGCCTGAATGCTTCTGACTTAATTCCCCCCAGGCTACCAAGTTCAGGATGATTAAGACAAACTCGAGGGCAGCAAAGTGCAGGCAGCTCATGCTTACTGTTGAATAACTTTGGCTTAAAGGAAATCAAACACACGTTGTCATTTAAATGCTGTCTGAGGGGCAATGCTCTCCTGCATTTCAAATGTGGCTAAGAAAAAAAAGAGGGTGGGAGCGTGGAAATTGTTGGCATGAACATGTTGAATGTCTTTACCATATTCCAGCATATGTTCTTTATCGGGGAAGTGTGTGTCCGATTGTGAGTACTGGTTTTACTGGGTGCAAACACAGTCCTAAGATGCTGCTGAGCAGGCTGAGCATGTTAGTGGCCAGCTGATTTGTAAAACACCAAGAGGGTTTATTGAGAGCTTAATATGTGGTTAGATTGTTAAAGGAATTTTTTAACCAGGCTGCTAGATGGTATTAATTTAAGCTGCTTTGAATGGATGAGACCCACTCCAAGTCTGTGGTTTGGGTTTCTTTTTAAATGACAATGTTCTAATAATGTTTACGAGGGTACGTGTGACTAAAGCTTCTAAAAATGAGATCTCTTGGAGACGTGAGCCATGTCATCTCCCACACCTACTCTTCCACCCAATTTGTAATAAACCAGGTCAGGTTATTTCCTAGAAAGGCAGATGGGCACATGGCTGGACTATTTGAGTTGTGATAGTTGAAAACAACCCTCTGACTTACAAAAGCAGGTGGCTGGAAAAGACCGTTTAAATGCAAGCGGACACGGAAGCGTCATGTCCGGTTTGGAGCGGGCACTTGGTTTAGATGGGCAAGTTTTTAATCTATTGGCACCTCAGCATCTCCCATTCAGCATCCTGAGTGGCATATCCATGGACCTTATTTAGTAATCTTGGGGATGTGGATGCAGGAGATGGGCTTGGGGACATGGTCTGTATTCGCCCTAAGGAAAAACTAAATGTGCACCACACTGAAGAGGGGTCTCAGTAGGAGCCTAAGACTGTTTGACTGCTTTAATCTGCAGGGCTGGAAGTGCTAAGAGGGGAGTTCTTTGGAGGAAAAGGACATTATATGGCTCTGGGTAGCACCTTGACAGCAGGAAAAGCAGAAAGCAGAGAAGAGGGGAGCAGCTGAGGGGCTGGAGGGCTGGCAGGGACACGGGGAGGGACAGGGCTGCCCCTGGCACCGGCCGCAGGAACGTACTGCGTCTGACGTAGGCGAAGGTGGGGTCTCGCCGGCGAGAGCTGCTCCTCGTACCTGTGGGCAGAGGATGGGCCTGGGGTGGTTTGGGCAGGGGTTCCCTGCTCCCGCAGTCCCTTCCTGCAAACCTGGTTGCACCAAGCCTGGCTGCTCAAACTGACCAAGACTGTCACACCCTTTTCTGGAGGGAAAAGCTGAGGTTACAGCTTGCTGCTGCCAAGGGTAGACGCTTTAGTTTCCAATTGCATTGGTCAAAACCTCAATATCTTGTGTAATTTTTCCCCAGAGAAGCAGGAGTGGCCTTCTGCTCTGCAAGCCCCAGCCTCAGTGTCACTGCCTTGTGCCATCCACTTTGAGGGCAAACAAATTTTCCTGGTATTTTCCTAAAAATACCTCTCAGTGGATGGATGGGGCCTTTCTGAGCGTCTGTTTTCAGTGGTTTGATTCTCTCCAGCGGCTAGGAAAGCTGTTGGGAGTGGGACAGGAGGCTGGGAAAGTCCCTTAATCCCTCAGCTATGGCGTCAGTGTGTCCAGCCCTTTCAGCGCCCACTGGAATTTAAATCCCAAGTATCGGGCAGTAAAGCTTGAGGGGTCGGGATATGTCCTGGGGATTAATGAGCAGAGCGGTCATTAATGTCCCCTGGGCTTTAATCCTAAAGCAGTGGTGTCACAAACTGCCCTGGGTGTGGGGACAGGCTGGGCAGGGGAAGGGCAGGTCAGAGCATGTGCTCGCCCATCCCTGGGCTCTCCTGGCCCTCCCATCCTGTGCGTGCCTCCCGCGGGAGCCGGGGCTGTGGACAAGCGCTTGACCTTCACTTTTCCAGGAGGGGAGCCAACAGCCTGTGTCAGCAGTAGCCAAAACCCTACAGGAGGTCATGAATGATTAACATTTATTCCATTGCCTAAATGTCCTCATCTACTTAAATAATATTGTTTGGTTGTACATTGAAGATGAAAAAAATCGTATGTGTGCAAACACCCCTTGTCCTGGCGAGGGAAAGACCCCAAGCTGGGAAATAACTTACTCTCCAAGCTGAGCGTTACCAGTGGGCTGAAGGTTTTCTGTCCTATCTGGATCCTGCTGAGGGCTGGTCTCAGAAGCCTTTGACCTAAGGGTCAATAAATTAGAGATTAAATTAGATGAATAATAAGTCATTAGGCTCAGGGTTTTGCTTTTGGGATTTGGCTGGTTAGAGCTCCTTTGTGATACATTGCAGGAGGTGCCAAGTGAAGGGAGTAACGGAGATGTCCCACAGCATCACTGTGGGTCAGCTGTGATGCAGACTTGCCTTTTCCCTTATCACCCTAGAAAAACTTTTTTTTTGCACTTTCTGTGTTGGAGCAGCTCAGCTCAGATAATCTTTTTATAGCTGGAGATATAAAATATATCCTGCCTCTCCCTGCACAGGGAGAGATGAACCTGAGGTGCATAAAGTTGGTTGTCACTATGGAACATGGACTGGTGGGTCATGGACTGGTTTCTGTGCTTGCTGGCTACCCAGGTGCCCAGGGAGAGCTGGTGGTTGTGGCTGGTTCCTGAGGTTCTTACTGGGCCTGGTCCCATTTAAACTGGAGTGCTAAGCTGAAGCTGCCCACCACCAGCTCTGGCCCATGCCCAGCTGCCAGGGCTCAGCAGGGTTTCAAGGCATCTCCCCAATGACAATTTGACTCTCCCTGTTCTTATCCCCAGGCATCCAGCCAGAGCACTTCAGGGTAAAATTCCTCTATAGTCTCAGAAAACAAATCCAACAGGCCTGCAAGCAGGTTTTCTCTTTGAGACCTGCTGGAGCAGAGGGGCAGGTTGCTATTGCTCAGTGCTGTGGTATTTGCCACCTGCCAGAGCCAGCAGCGGACACATCCTGCTGCTCCTGAGAATCTTCTCCTGGAGAAGAGCCATGTTGCTGCTTCACAAGGGCTCTGCTGAGAGGCTGAAGGTGGTTTGTGCTCGGGCGATGGGTAAGGCACCAGCCAGGGTGGGTCTGGTTGGAGCAGAAGGGAGCTGGAATGGGAGCAGCATGTGGACTAGACACCATGGGGGCTTGGGAGCAGCAGGCAGGGATGGCCAGTGGGCAGAGGGGCTCATCCCTGGTCAACCAGGGGCTAGCTGGCTCACAGATGGGCTTTGCCAGTGCTCTGGGGCCTGGACAGCTGCCAGCCATCATTTGGGCAAAAGCCATGTTGACTCAGGGCAGCATCCAGCAGGGATGTTGGGCCCATGTCTGCTGGCTCAGCAACCACTGGTGGACATGCCTTCATGCCAGCGTGCTCATGGGCAGGGGACATCATGGTGGTGGGAATAGCAACATTTAACCTTCACCTAAAATGGACGTGACTCCCAGGAGGAGGATGAGGTTCAATCCTTTTGTGATGATCATTGTCTCCAGAGGTGACCAGGTGCTTCTTGTAGTACCCACAGCCTTCTCACGCCTTCCCCAGACCTGCGGAGACAAGCCTGGTGATGTTAAGGCTCACCCAGGGTCTTGCTGCCTTCAGGAAGTTTCTTCCAGGCTGAACCAGTCCAAAACATGCTGAGAGGCTGCGTGTACCTCCTGCCCCCCCACCCCTGGCAGTCCCCCACTCACTCCCAGGGGGGGGCACCAGGTTCTCCACATCTGCACTCGTGTCCCCTCGGCTTCTTGCCGTCACTTCTGAGCCCAAATCTATTCTGCAGAGCACTGCTTTGGAATGATGTCTCCTTAAATACTTCTGCAGGGATGTTCTCGTAGCCCACACGGCTCCCTGCCCCCCCAGCACCCTGCCCTGCCCATAGACATGAGCAGGAACATCTCTGTGTCTCCATCCCTCTGCCTGAAAACTGAGCTTAGTGTGAGGATAGCATCTTACCCCAGGACATCCCAGGAGTGTGGGGAGGAGAAAGGCTCCTGAGTGCCTCTGAAAGCAGAAAATCCCATATACAAGCCAAGTCAACTCTGAATGTAAGCAAGAAGCCAAATATTTTCCTTTTTCTGCACACAGAAGTGAGGGACTGAGGCTTTTGTGTTGCTCTTGCTCAGTGACTTCAGGTTTTGAGTGAGTCCCTCAGCCCTGTGGCCTTGAGCATTTGGGTACTTAATTTTTGAAGGTACCCATGGAGCTGATGTTATCCCAAGTGACACCAGCTGGAATTCCAGGTGCTTTATTTTATGCATGGAAAATTAATGAACTTAGAGGGGAAAAGGTTGCCTCAGCCTTTCAGTGCCTCAGTTTACTCATAAAATGAGGCTGACAAAAAGCAGCCAGGCAGCAAGAACACCCTCTTATTTGTAAGTGGTATTAACCATCCCCTCTGAGACCCGGGAATGTGGGACTAGGAAATACTTTGATTATGGCTCAACAAATCCCAGTCAAGCAGGAATAACAAGCAACACATGAGCCGTGTTTTGTGGGTTTACGGCGGGGTCGTGAACTCTCAGCCAGACAATAACCAGGAAAAATTAATCCAGGCTGAAAGCCCGTTTCCCACTCAGCTGCTATTTTGGGAGCTGGCTGAGACTTGTTCGGTGCTGGGTTTGGGATGGGATGTGTCCCTTTTTCCCTGGGGGACACAGTGCTGGGAAAAGAGGGGGGGGGGTTCAAGCAGCCGGATCGCAGCAGTTGGAGGGGTTGGCATCGCCGTGTCCCCTCTCTAGCAGGGGGAGCTGCTGGTGTGGGATGAAGGAGATCCAGCAGCCCCGTGTGAGCAAAGCACCGTCCTCCCCGGAGCCCCCTGCCCTGCCGTCCCGGTAACCCTGCCCCGGACCCGTTAGCTGGGATGAGGAAGGGAGAAGCAGGATGCAAAGAACCGTGTGTCCCCACTGCTGTTTTCCAGCCCACGCCTTCGTCTGCCCATCAATTCATTCCCACCTCGCCCTCAATCACAGCCGCACTTAATTACGCCGCCTTAATAACACAGCAAAATTATATAAGCACGAGCTGCCTCGTCGGGGAAAAACTTCACAGAGTTGGTTGGGTTGTTGCGGGTTTTTTTTCTCCCTCTTACCTACAAAACCCATAAAGCCCCCAATTAAGGAGCGTCCCGTCCTCTCCCCGCCGAGCTGCGATCCGGGGGCGAGGCGAGGGCTCGTCAGCAGCGGGTCCAGGGATTTGCAGGGGGTTGGGAAGAAGAAAGAGAGAGGAGAGTTGCCGCTTACCGGAGCCTCCCCGCGCCGCTGCCGCCGCGCCTCCCGCAGCCCGGGCGGCGAGGTCGCTTATATAGCCCGGCGTGCGGCCGAGGGGAGGGCAGCCCGGCGCGGCGCCGGGGGAAAACAGCTCGGGCGAGCGAGGAAACCGCAGGCTGAATAATCCCCTTGACAAGGTGATGGTAAACACGAGGCCGCCGCGGAACGGCAGCCACCGGGGATGGTGGCGATGCCACGGCAGGGCGTGGGGTGGGGACCGTGTCCTGGGCACTGCGGGCACTGTGTCCTGGTCCTGGTCCTGCATCCCCGTGTGGGCACTGCGTTCTGGTCCTGGTATTGTATCCCAGTGTGGGCTCTGCATCCCAGCGTGGGCACCATGTCCTGGTGTGGGGACCAGATCCTGGTGTGGGGACCAGATCCTGGTGTGGGCACTGCATCCTGGTGTGGGGACCAGATCCTGGTGTGGGCACTGCATCCTGGTGTGGGGACCAGATCCTGGTGTGGGCACTGCATCCTGGTGTGGGGACCAGATCTTGGTGTGGGCACTGCATCCTGGTGTGGGGACCAGATCCTGATGTGGGCACTGCATCCTGGTGTGGGGACCAGATCTTGGTGTGGGCACTGCATCCTGGTGTGGGGACCAGATCTTGGTGTGGGCACTGCATCCTGGTGTGGGGACCAGATCTTGGTGTGGGCACTGCATCCTGGTGTGGGGACCAGATCTTGGTGTGGGCACTGCATCCTGGTGTGGGGACCAGATCTTGGTGTGGGCACTGCATCCTGGTGTGGGGACCAGATCCTGGTGTGGGCACTGCATCCTG